GCATCCTGAATTCACCGACGCATCACTCGCCAATCTTCTGAAGGTTTTCCTTTTCGATTTCAATAAGTAATGGCTTGATTTATCTGCATCTTTCGCTGAATGTGTTTGGAAATTTCTGAGCAGTGATCTCTTAACAAATTTATATATTCTTTATGAATTATAAATTATATTCTTTATGAAAAAAGGGGAACAATAACTGTTTGCAGTTGGGCCGAAGCCCGCACAAGCGGTGGGAAGAATCAGTCGATCTTTTCTATTCTGAACAACAGAGAAAGATAGCAAGAAGCTAGTGTTAAGGTCTTGTACATAGTAGGGCTATTATAACGATATTTATTGTATTGTGGTACTTATATATAAAAAAATATATATTTAAAGAATATATATTGAAGAAAATTAGATGAACGGTAATGTTTTGAAATGCTGGGTACCAATTAAAGCTTATTGTGGAAAGATGTCCAGTTGTGTTGTTAACACAGAGGTACTTTACGCTGAAGCATTAGCTCATCCAGATGAAGACACTTAGCGTGTGATGCCTTGGGAACAACATGCGTCTTCTGTATTTTGGAAATGCGGCTTTTTACAGCAAGCGCTGCGCTGTGTTGATAACCAGTGAGTTTCGCGTGTCACTGATTTTTACTCATGGAACAAAAACAGTTTCGACTAAGATAATTCGCTTGTGTGGGTTTCCTGACTTTGAAAAGCAGCAGTACTTGGCAATCGCTACGTTTGGCGTGGCGTCTCAATTACATTGAGGATTCTTACAAACTTTTCAAACGGTGCAAGAATTTCTTGGTGATAGTGATTTTTATGGATTGTTATTTTTTGCTGGTTGTTTGACGATTATGTTTCGATGTAGCACTTTTGCAGGAACAAATTTTGATTGAGGATGAGTCAAAGCATGCTGCACAGAAACGAACTGCTGCTCAGGTTGATGCATCGACGTCGCAAGAAATGCAGCTTGAGAGTAACTCCACACAGGTTCGTTTATGTGATAAGACGAAAAATGAATTATTTCAGGGGGATTTTTTAGCCGTGCCTGTTGAAATCTGCATTTGAACAATGCCACTTACAGGCTACTGCAAGCACATCGGCTGTTGGTGTTGATACTGCCAGTAGCATTGTGGTAAGAAATTCCTTTGAGCGCATGTTCATAACACAAGCGCTTGTCGTTCCACAGCAGCGTCGTTCTCTTTTAAGCTTCTTCGTCCACTTTTTTTTCATTTTTACAATTCTGTTCCGTCGATTTGGAAGCTTCCAGAACTTATTTGTTTGGCTTCGAAAGCAGTTTAGCGCTTTTTAGCTGATTTCACTGTTCACTGAACTAATTTATAAGCTGTCTGGCATTATCTTTCTCCGTTTCGTATATTTATTTATAATTTTTATGCGTTTTAGCGCTGCTACAGCCAGCAGAAGCGCATATTGTCGAGAGGCTGTCTATGTGTGTGTGTGTTCGGAAAACGAGTGCATTTTGTCACCCACTTTCATTTCAGCAACCAGGAAAAGCTGAGAGGCTGAAACCTTGGATATATGTTCCTATCCCGTGTTTCATCCTTCCGTTTTAAGATCTTTCCCCATACGCGCCTAGACCCTGCGTACGAGGCCCTCGAAGAAATATGTTGGCGGGAAACGATTTCGCGAATCAGACAAAGTAGAAGGCTGAAAGTTTGCAGGGATATTCTCTATGCACGTGCGAGCCAAAGATTTTAAACTCAGCTGTCGAGCACCCCAACCACAGCTTCAAGCAGCTCCTCAACCTAAAAATCGCTCGCAACTCGGACCTGAACCGCAGTCGTATATGTAAGTGAACATGGATTTTTTGACAAACGACCGCTCGAGCAATACTTTCATCTTTTAGTGAACTGGAAATTTGCATTTTTGCAAAAAAATTTGCATTTGTCATTTTTTAACAAAGCGAACATTTACTGAAAAAACGACTGGACTTTATGCAAAAAACCGGTAATCATGCACCTGGATATCCGTGTGGCTCTATAATGCACCACCTTCATCCCAACTGTCACCCTTCCTCCTGCATGTTGGAAGGAATCAAAGCACGCCAAGTATTAGGCTACAGCGTAGACTAATAGCGATCTGCAAGTTTAGTGCAAAAACGCATGGTCGCACCGGAGAGCCTGATGCGTTCCAGTTTGGGTTGTTATTTTCATTGCTTTCGCATGTACTTTCAAAACTGCCTCAATAACTTCTCAGAAAACGAGCCATCGGCGGTCTTTCCAAATGTTGGTTGTGTCGCTACTTCCAGTTGCTTCTGCTTTGCGCAGAACTCTGCCTTTCCTGAACAGTCTCTATTTGCTTTGAACTTTTCTGAGTTTTTTTTTGCACGTTGTTGTTTGTATTATTTTGTAGTATCTGTGTTTGTTATTCTTCCTTAGCGGTAAGCCTGACCGGGTTATCATTGTGATTTGACGCGGACAAGTACTGCTGAAAGTTCTGTCAGCTTTAATGCCTTGAACAACAAAAAGTATTTCGCCTTTTAAATGCGATAATTTTTGATGTGACTTGAAGAGTTTTTGCAGAATGTGGCTGACGGCACAGCACGCATTGCAGGATGGCTTTTTGGTGCTGGGTCGAAGGATAAGGACGATGTACAGCACTGTTAGTGCTTGATCATTGCAGTGATTGTTCCTCTTTTATGCGTTTTTTGCAGCCATGCAGTGCGAAAACGCATGTTGACGAGAGGTTGTCTGTGCGTGTGTGTCTGTGTTTGTGTGTGCGCTGCGCGTCTGTACCGATTTCTCATCTCGAGACCCACAAAAGCTACAGGGCTGAAACTTTAGGGACTTAATCTATATGCGCGTACGAGCTCCCGTCTCCAAAATGGGCGGTCTTTCCCGCGTCGTACCCACGTAAGAGTCCGCCAATGTTTTTTACGAGTAAGCTGCTAACTCGCGAACCAGAAAAGCTAGAGAGGTGAAGTTTTATGAGAATGGTCCCCGTCAAAATAGGCACTAATGAACCCAAACCCAACCTCCGAGTAAGCGTGGTACCCGCGTACGGGCCCGCCAGAATTTTTCTCGCGTAAATTCATAACTCGGGTTTCTGAGATGCTGGAAAGCTGAAATTTTAAGGTAATGTTCCCCGTCCAAGTAGGTGCTGATGAGCTCAAACCCAACCCTCGGGCAAGCGTGGTACCCGCATACGGGCCCGCCAAAGTTTTTTTCGGGTGAGTTCATAACTCGGGGATCTGAGAAGCTGGAATGCTGAAATCCTAGGGCAATGTTTCCCCGTCCAAGTATATACTGACAAGCTCAAACCTTGTCCGCGGGCAAGCGTGGCACCTACGTACGGGCCCTTGAAAATTTCTTCCGGGTAAGTTGCTAACTCGGGAAAGCGAGAAGCTAGAAGATTGGGATTTTGAAGGGATGTTGCCTGACAGTCCTGGCAGCCAATCTGAAATTCTTTTAGCTAGAAGCATCTGCCAGAAAAACCAGTGCCGTTAGCGACAAAAATCTGCGGGGGGCCATGCAAAAAGCGCATCCTCGCACGGGCAGCCCGTGCGTTGGCCAATTATTTTTTAACCGTTTCGGGCCCGACAATTGAGATGCTACTTATTTTTGACTTGTTTGTGGATTTGTTCTTCAAAACACGTCAATTGGAGGCTTCATGGTCTATGGCTTAGGATGGTGTAGTGCTACTTATATAATATCACTAAATACACTGCCCCTATTTCGAACTCAAATAGTGCAAAACAATGGACGCAGTTCCTTTGCATTTGAAATCTGCATACTGACATATCCGACGTGATAAAGGGGGGAACTTGTCGTTTGTTTGCTTTCCAAACCCACCGGAAAAGCGACTCATCGACCATTTTGCTGCTGGCGATGAATTTGAGTTAAAGCATTTGTTACCGAGCCCGTCTTCGGATACTATTATTCTGAAGAAGCAGCACTGAGCTGTTCGATGAACTAAATGAGTTGCTCCATCCGAATCCTTCTTGGAATACGTGAATGACGCTTTTTGCATAAAATGGCGAAAAGTTATGAGTGTTACTATTTTCAAAATTTGCCCCACGTTAACTTCGCCTTTTTAGCACCAGCCACTCGGAAAGCAATCAATCTTTTGCCAGAAGTTCCGGAAAAAACAATCACACGAAAGCTAACTCCTCGTGAACAAAGGGATTGCCAGATAATAGGTGAGCCATATCTTTTGTTTAGGAGAAATCACTCGTTTTAATTGTATTTTCCGTATTCGGGCTTTTTTGACATCGGAATTATAACTGTGGCCGTTAGAAAGTCGAGCCGTAATCTTAAAAACAATACTTCCTGCTCGCCTGACAACTCCAAAGTTAAGCTGCAATGTTAACACTTTTTTGAACGCTTTGGTTGAATTTCTCTGTTTTATTTTTTCTTTGTCATATAGGCCAATGAGTTTTGAACATCGTTTCCGTCGCGCGTTGCAAATTTTTGAGTATTTCTCATTGTTCATATAAAAAGTGAAATACTTCTTCACTGAAAGATGTATAAGAACATCTTTCTGAGGAAAGGTAAAATTCGCTGAGTACTTGCTCACACCTTTGTGTATAGCCAATGGGTGTTGACCACGGAAAAGAAGTGGTTGCTTGAATGGTCATTCCATGTGCGTAATGCATTTTCGAGACAGCTGGATTTGTACTATCCCAGTACGCACTGAAAGTGTTTTAGTTTTTATGTTTTTTCTTTTACAGAGCGGCTGATCGGACGGTATTTCATGATTGTGCGCAAGAATATTCAGGACACAGTACCGAAAGCTATCATGCATTTCTTAGTCAATTATGTTCGAGTATGTTCATTTTTCTGGTTCCTTCTGAATGGTCATTTTTTAGTGTTTTCAACAAAAAAGAAAAAAAGAAAAATGCTGCCTTCTGATGTTTTTCAGTGATAAAATTTAATTGGGGCAAGATAGGATGGCGGCATAAGAAGTCGATTTTAACTGATCTTTGAACAGTCACCAGCAACAGATATGGAGCTAAAATTTGCATAGGTCATAGCCATTAAGAATTTCTGAACTGTCTCGAATTTTGGCTGGATGGCTGAAAAAGTTGTGTCGCACACACAGAGCGAAATATTGCGGATTTTTGATTTGTCTTGAAAAGTGGGGCTGCTTGGGGAGATTTATTGCGAAAGATGTGTCGCAAGGGGAAAAGATGTCTGTCCACAACTTTAAATTTCGTTATTTATCCGAACATCGTGGCGAAATCAGTGGCGTTAAAATTTCAGGATAACCTACAAAGCGAACTTGTGAGGCAATTGTATAAACATGAGA